TCTATATTTAAAAATAAACTGAGATTTTAATGAAACTAAAAGCAATCTGATTATCAGCGTTAAAAAGTAAAACTTTCTCGTAAGCCTCCATAACGAATATTTAGAGTACTCGTCTATGAATCGAAAGGTTCCGAGTTCAAACCCACGAGTAGAGACTTTTTTTAATTTTCTAAAAATTTTATTTTCTAAATTGGTAAAACTTAAATTAATTTCATAACATTAATTTTACGTTAATGACGTCTAAATCTTCATGCTCAAATTTCGTCTTTTTGCTATGGCCACTCGGTATCATCAAATTATAATAGAATATTATAAGGTCCGGTAATTTTATTTAAATCTTATGACAATGAAAACTAAAAATGTGTGTGTCTAAAGGAGAAATATACCGAAAATAACAAGTGTTTAAATTTTGCTAATAAATTTGTATTAGGTTTGTTTTAAAAGAAAATACATCATTTTGGATTTGAATATACAGTGTCTCGCAAAATGTTTGCACCAAGAAAACACGAAATTACATTTTTCTTTAATCTACGTAAAAAAATGCGAATTAAATTTTTTTTACTGAAAATAATTAGGTACCTAACAGGGTTATTCATTATAAATTACCCTCCCTTTATGCCATAATTATTATTGTATAATGTTTACATTGACCGAATTTTGTAAAAATCAGTGGCGTGCATATTTCACAGGATTTAACATAATATTTTTTAATAGAGATAGCATACATATATATTTTATTCAATTTTCGGAATGATTTTTATTCTTTCCTGATTAATTAAACGTCGAATATCTTATAAATATTTACACTTTTTCTTCCTTACTGTAAACTACTTATATTTGGATTATTTTATTATCAAACATAATAGTTGTGATTTTCATAGCTTTTACTTTTTCATATTTACATTATCAACGTTAAATTACTCGAGAACAGACGGTATAAGATAGGGTTATCAATAATATACATTTGTGAAATTAGAAAAAAAATATATCCCAGAAATTTAATAACATAGAGGGTACCCCATTAAAAAAAGTTTATTTGTGTTGTATTCCGTGAAATCTGAATACGTGTTTTTATGGTATAGTTAAAAAAAGTCAGTCATATCCACAAACTTTTATTTAAAGCTTTTTTTTGAATATGCAATAGTGGTTATAAAAGGTGTCTTTAATAATGAATAATTTTATACATGATCTCAAATAAATTTGTTGAAATTAATTTCATTTTTAAAAATGTCACTTCTGCTTCTCCCGTATTGCTAAAAAAAAAAAAAATTGTGTCCAGGTCTGGGATTCGATGGTGGTAAATATTAATTCTAAATATACATTTTTCAAGTAACATTGTCCTCCTGTTTTTAGAAATAAAGGTTACTGCTTAGCCAAATTCACACACAGTTATGTTTATATAATATTAAAAAGTTCCCCTACTAAATATTTTGGCTCAATCAAAGTAGATATTAGAAAAAGTAGAAATAATATTAAATATAATAAAGAAATTAAAAAAATAATTTAGAATTAGTTTAAGTTATATTATTTAAAGAAAAAATTTTTTAGCTTGGACTTAAATAAAACAGTAAAGAACCACCTGGGAATAATCACTTCAATCTACCTATAACAAGAATTATTCATAAAAATTACTTATATTTTCCAAACCTAACCAACAGGATTATTGGAAATACCAACAAAAATAATCCGGTTGGGGTTCGGCTCTGGGGGCTAGGGCATTTAGGGTCGAGATATTGAGACCAAACTTGGGATATGAATGTACTATCTCATAAAAATAAAAATTGCATTAAAAAAATTCACCCCTCCCCACCCCTATCTGATATGGTGGGGGTGGCATCCCCAAAAAATCAAGTTAGAACTTTTTAACAAAACAGTTAAAATCTACGATTTTTTTATACATACAAACCCAAAATTTCAATTTTTTTATCAAATTTGTCAGAAAGTCCAAAAAAAATTGAAATTTTGGGTTTGTATGTATAAAAAATCGTAGATTTTAATTGTTTTTTTTAAAAAGTTCTAAATTGATTTTTTGGAGATGCCACCCCTCTATCTCCCTCTAGGGGATGATGGTGGTAAGATTTTTATACAGAAATGTTGCAAATCATTTGTATCGTAAATATGCCAAAAATAAGATTTTTATGTCCTCTGTAACTATGTTTAAATGCCAGCCCCACATCCGAATTATAACGGTTAAAGTCGAAATTTTTTTTAAATAAAAAAAAAGAGAAAAGAGAAAAATTTTTTCAAAAAAAATTGTAATTTTGGGTTTAAATGTATAAAAAATCGTAGATTCCAACTGTTTTATTTAAAACGTTCCAGCTTGATTTTTTGGAGATGCCACCCCCTCCATTTCCCTCTAGGGGATAAATATTTTAAAAATAAGATTTTTATGTCGTCTGTAATTATTTTTAAATGCCAGCCCCCACATCCGAACTATGAAGATTAAAGTCGAAATTTTTTCAAAGTTCAAAAATTTTTTTTAAAAAAATTATAATTTTGGGTTTTTATGTATAAAAAATCGTAGACTTCAACTGTTTTATTTAAAAAGTTCTAACTTATTTTTTTGGGGATGCCACCCTCACCATATCAGATAGGGGTGGGGAGGGGTGAATTTTTTTAAAGTGATTTTTATTTTTATGAGATAATACATCCATATACCAAGTTTACTATCAATATTTCGATCCTAAATGCCCTATCCCCCAGAGCCGAACCCCAACCAATAATCCTTATAGAACCCATTGTGTTATTTACTTCAATATTAAGAATTCATTTATATTATTTACCAACCATCTTAAGGGTTTTTTTAATTACATTGTTACGCAAGAGATTAAAGAAATAACCTGTTGTTTATAATTACTTATGCTAAGTACTTAACTTTACCTACCTACCTGTAGGTATATGTATTTGAATTAAAAATACAATTTTTCTTAACACTTAAGAAATTTATTATTATTGCTATTATTAATATTATATAATTTATTTTAAATTAATTCGGATAAAACCTGTAAAGGAAAAGAAAAACAAAAGCATATTTTCTAGTTTATTAATTTCAAAACAGTTATAAATACACAAATTTTTAATTGTAATTTTAAAACAATAATTAATAGTCAACTAATTTATATCATAATATATATCATTAAGAATGGGACATAGTACAACTAAAGATTATCTGATAAAAATAAAACTATTAAACGAAATATGCAGAAAAAAAGTACCCGTTTTCGAAATGCAGGGTGTTAAATTTGAAAATACAAAAATTATTAATGGCTATATTTTTATTTTTCAGTATCATTTTACTGAATTCGGTAAACATTTTTTACACTTTCCAAAAACTAATTTAAACTATAATTTATTTTTTTTATATAAATCATGTAGGTACTCTTGTTGGGAATTCGTCCTTTATTAACAGTAAAATAATTCAGTAATAAAACATAAACACAACTCATTCACAATACCTACTACCCGTAAACGCACTAACGCACAATAACAAACATTAGATAGAAAATAGTCCAAACATTCAATCACGAGTGTATAAAATTTCATCCAAGAGCTAAAAATAGAAATTTATCGATCGGTCTCAGTCATTCTTAAAAATTTCTGCAGGACCCTCAACTCCGCCCACTGCAAACGAATATCGACTTATCCATATTCACTAGCGCCATCTATTGGTAGTATCCATTTCGCTCCAATGAAACTTCCATAAGGTGAGACTACTATTTAGTTCTTTATACAATGCTAGTACAGGGTCGTCGAGAGCCAGGCCGGGCCCCAGGACAATTCTCTAGATCGGGCCCCGTAACAAAAAAATCTTAACCAAAAACTGTTCCTCTTCTACTGAAATAGAATTTTTTTAAAAAAAAAAAAAGATCCTCACATCAAAAAACTATTCTCCCTGCTTCAATTACGGTCCTCAGCCGAAAAAAAAAACTTCTCTAAGCTAAAATTTTTCCTCTGCTTGTATTTAATTTTAATTTAAACTTAACTTCCCTCTCTCATCTTGTGTCGAGTTTCTCATGCAGAACAAAAAAACCTGTTGTCGGGTCCCCCTTACAGCGCTGCCGGGCCCCCATTTATGTCCGGGCCCCGGGAATTAGTCCCGGCTACCCCCCCCCCCCTCTAGTCGGCCCTGTGCTAGTAGGGTGCCTAACTTGACCTAAACTAATGGCTGATAGGTATAATACAAAATTCATCTATTGTATTCAAAATTAGGTAATTCTGGCCATTGTTTAGATGTTACCTATCTCAATTTTTATCTCATAGGTAATAGATTTTATATTTTCAATATCAATAATTTTCAATAATATGAACAGCCAAACCATTGTCTAATGACATAAGGTACTATGTGCGCCATCTACATGCTAAACTTAAAATTTAACGTTTCAATCAAAATATTTTTAGTAGATTTCTTACACTCAATGTCCCTTAATATGCCTACTCGGTAGTAGAGGGCGTTAAAAAAAATAAAATGATTTGAATAAATTAAAAGCTTGGTTTCAAAGATAATAAATACCACTAAATGATCGTTACATTCTAAAATACTTATAAAATATTTAATTTATAAATAAACAAATTATTATTAACCGCCGATGAAAAACGTGTAAAACCAAAGAAAGACCTTATATAGCTAGATCATTAAATAGACAACCTACTCTGAACACTACATTCCAACCATATCGTGTCATTCATAATAATTCCAAAGATTTGTTTTTAAAGTTAAAAAGCAATCTAAAATTGGAAATACTAATTGTTCTTTTATATTCTTCTAATAAAAAAATTCTGAACTTAAAATGTATATAATTTTTAATACAAAATGTAGCGTTTGTTCACTAGCATTTGTTAACTAATTTTTAATTTTGTATATCTTACATATATCTCGTAATTATTCAATGTTTATTTCAAGAAATACACTTCTATATTTCAAAGAAAAATTTTATTGTTAACCTCTATGTTGTCACCAAAACAATTATAGTAAATAGATCAAAATTTTTAGTTTAGTTAGACGCTTGTATAAATTGAGCAAATCTGGGGGAATTCGTTGGTGATTTTATTTTGTTGTTAGTTCTGGTTAAAATAAAACGTTGTCCGTTTTAAAATAAAAAGTTGTAAAATAAAGGTTTGTTCTAAATAAAATAGATAACAATATATAAATGCCATTTTGACATTTAATAATATATTTTGAGTGAAGATTTGCGATATTATAAAATTCGCGCTAATAGCATTAATTTTTAGTTGGCTACACTGCGCTCCTGTCGGTGACCAAACACCAAACCCCAAACTTTCTTTTTCGGTTCGCTTTGCTGTTTGTACGCGTATCCTCCATTTTGTTTAACCAAAAGGTTAATTATATGTTTTGTGTAATTATTAACCCTTAATGTTTTAAAAAAATGAGTGATTATTCTGCGGTCGCTCCGCCACCACAACAAAATTTTAATCAGTCTTCAGCATTCGCCGCAGCCCTCCAACGTGCCAAACAGGTAAGCCATTTGAGTTCATAAAACGCAGAATGTGCTTTTGGTTTTTGTCTAATTTTTTGCCGACTTTTCCGAAAAGAGCTGAATTTGTATCGCGAATAGACGGCGTATTGGGTGATAACGATGTTCTAATGAGTTTTTCTTAGATTGCAGCTAAGATTAATCCGGGAACTACCGGCGGTGAGAATAGACCGAAGAGGCCATTAGAAGATTGTACAGGTAAGTTTGTTTGATAAAAAAACCAGCTTACAAATGTACCTGTTTACGGCAAAAGAAATTTGATTGTATATGGTTTTTATAAATAAAAATATTTACCTAGCACTTTTTTGATATTGAAGCTCTCCCTCCATACACATTTTTTTTTATAATTTTGCTTTTTTTTAGAAATTAATAGTAACTAGGTACCAGTACCTGAATGTGGTTTCAAGGACAGTCCCTAGATCAATTGATTTTGTTTTTTGTGTATTTGCTTGAATTTTGGCATCTAACATACATCCTTTTATTAAGTAATTAAAAGAAATTCTAGATAAATATTGCTTACAATTATTTTAATGATTTTTATAAGCCCCCCCTTACAATATACTTTTTTGGTTATACATAGGCACCCCTTAAAAATTAAACCTTAAAAATACATTCATGAAAAACAGGAAATACGAGCATCCTATTATTTTTAAATAAAATAGATACTTAATACTTATTTTTATTTATATTAATTATATTATGAATTATAAACCAACTACACTTGATTTATTATTTTGTACAAGAAATTATGTACATAGCTGTTTATTTAATAATTATTTCTAAAGTAGAACCGGATGCGAAAAAAGGACCTGGTTCCCTTGGACCTTTGCCTAACCCAGCCCCTCTGGGCAGACCCCCACAGAGTCAAAGTATGGGGCCCCCTGGAATGGGACCGCCTGGAATGGACGACATGAAAGTACCAGATAAAATGGTTGGATTAAGTAAGTAATGATTTCTAATTAACGTTTTTAATTTTGAAATACTTAGGTTTTTTGTGAATACTTTTTTGTATAGCTTTTAATTAAATTGCAAATTAATCTTATGCAAAGCTAGGAAAAGTTAATGAAAGTACTAGAGGTTCTCAAATATTTTAATTGGGATAATTTAATCCATGACTAAAAATCAGTTCCATTAGCATGTTTAAAAGTGAAACCACTATTGTATTGTTTGACAATAGTAAAGCTTTGATATCACACTTTTGTCAATACCTGAATGCCTCAAGGTTCATCTTTTGTCCCAATATTACTCTTCGTTATGAAGAGATTCTGTGCCATAATAAAACTTTTGAGATTGCTGCTAATTGGTTACTCAAAATTTCAAAAATAGGTTCCTTTTCACATTCCAGACCTGCTTATTCTACTCAATCAAAAATGTGGCCACAATCAGGGTGTGATCAATGAAAACTACTTTAAACTATTTGATGTCACCATCTTTTAGGATTTGATCTGGTTTCATTTGTCTTATGCTGAATCGATGTTCTATAACCCTGTCCATCCTAAAACAGAACTAAGTAATAGCAGTTACATTTTTTTGGAATAAAAAAATGTATATGTCTCAGGCTTATTATAAAATCAGTCTTATTATAATACGTCTAGCCTTTTTTAATACGACTAGGCATATCATAATACTACGCAAATAATTAAGAATCTCACAATTTGACTAATAATTTCAGGCGTATTATAATAAGCCTGCTGCTTGTTAGTCTTATTGTTAAATTGAACTGACACACATGTGTTTTTGAATCCGACTAGATTTATTCCGTCGTATTATAATATGACTGTCGATGTGCCAGGCGAATTGCAATCATCATTGTTGTTGAGTTGATTAGATGTTTTAATTTTTTTTTACCTACCTAATATTTGTTCAAAATATTAATTATATTTAAAATGAAGAATTTTAAAAGTGTTCTTGCAAGCCAAGCAAGACAGTGTCATAGCAATAAATGTTTGTTTTAAAGCTCGTATGAAATGTACTAGCAAATGTCATAAAAGCGGACCATGCTGTAATAAATAATCCTAATCCATTTTTTTTGTGTCATCGGCATTAACTACTAAGATTATTAGCCTCGTGTTCTGTATAGGCTTTGTTACTGTTTCCCAGCGCCACTTAGGAACAGCACTGTCAATTAGAACCCAACAGTGAATGGTCGAGTGGAATCCTAATCTATTATTTGTATTTTTATTTTAAATAGTTTAGAAAGTTTAAAATCAATGGTTGAGTATACTGCTGTGCTAAGCACAAAGGTGGTAACTGTAATAAACTTGAATTCGAGAAATTTAGATGTTTCGATGTGTCAACTTTGTAGTTCTGAAAATCGGCATTATAAAGTTTCAGGTGTGACTGTTTAAGGTCTATGCCCACTATACCGTACCATACTATGACCGTGTCTGGATCTGATTTTTTTTTTTAGATTCAAATGAGAGTGGCGTAGTCGATGCCGGGCCGGTCTAGTGGGCATTGTCTCATTTAAATCTATACAAAGAATATTTTTCTGCCTATGCCGGTACGGTCACGGTCATAGTATGATCCGGTGTAGTGGGCATCGACCTATATAGTCATTTTGAAAGATAACACTTCAATTTTGTGATTTTTTTCAAATTTTACTCGAGATATTTAAAGATTTGATATAAATATCATAATCTTTTCAACTTACCACTTATTAATCTATTTTTTCAATTGTTTATTACTACAGCATATTGCCATATGTAATTAATGATCATTAACTTTTATTTTTGTTTTGTAAATTGAAATCTTTATTAATGAGGCTTTAGTTATAATAATTAATTTTGTTCTTAACCAATTTTAAGTAATGACAAAAAAAGGAAGGAAAAAAATTAAAGCTACAGATGATAATTGATTTGCATAACATTAAATTTGTAAATAATATCAGTTCTCAGTACTTTAATCTTCTTCTTCATCATTAACATCTTCACAATCATTTTTCACAAAATTTTAACCTAGTTTTTGGTATGATATCATCTGAAGACTTCTTTTTATCTTTGTAAATTCCGTTAGCAGGATTTTTCTTATTTGGTTCTAAAATACCGTCTTTGATTAATTTCACCTTAAGAAAATTAGCTATTTTGTAATCTGGGTTCTTAAATGAATTTTTATAAAATAACGTCAATTTTCTCTTTTCTACTTTAACTTTACTGAAATTTTTAACAAATTTACTAAAGCATTTTTGACGTATCTGAAAAATACTAAGGGTTATAGACGTATTTGTTTTCACAAACAATAAAAAAGCTTGATTTTTTGCAGATACGGCACTTTAACCTAGTATTTGAGGTAGAAAAGAAAAATACGACTATTTTTATAGATCTATTTTAAATAAAATATTGACTTTTAAAGCTTAATAACTTAATAATAATTTTGAAAATCGATAATTTAATGTATTATAATCAAAAACTCATTTTTCTTTAAAAAATCAGTTACCACCTTTGTGCTTAGCAAGTCAGTATAGTTTGCATGGCACACAGTTATGCGTCAGTTGTATTATAAACACAATTCGCCTGTCACATCGTCAGTAGTATTATAATACATCAGATTTCATCTAGTCGGATTTTAAAACACTTGCCCATCTATTCAATTTAACAATAAGACTAACAATTGACAGGCTTGTTATAATACGCCTGAAATGAGCAGTCAAATTCTGAGATTCTTAATTATTTGGGTAGTATTATAATATGCCTAGTCGTATTGAAAAAGCCTAGGCGTATTATAATAAGGCCGATTTTGCCATAAGCCTGCGACATATATACTTATATGAAAATTTGTAAAGGGACCTCTTCTATTCTACAACTGTTTATATATTTTATTATGAGTAATGAAAGTTAATTTAAAAAACAAAAAGTGTTCATTATAAAATAATAAATATACCTAAATAGTTATTATTGGCACTTCCTATTTATTTCGACTAAAAGCTTTTTATTGATAATAAAACAACGAAGGTCACAGATAAATTTGGATCAGTAACATTATTATCATTGATATAAAATTTTATTAATTATAACACAATATTGTTCGCAATGAAGGAAATAGTGATTTTAAAATTTTTGTTTGTTCAAAATAAGGTGTCTGATATTCTCTTTCTGTATTTTTTTTTTTGTTCAAAAATAACTGGGTTATATAGTTGACAAACTTTTAACCTAGAACTATTAAATAAAATTATGTTAATTGGTAAATGTTTATTGAAATATTCATATTTATATTAAAATGGATAAAAATAAGTCATTGCAGATATTAAAACATTCATGTAGACATTAAGATATGGAATAACATTTTTTGTTTATGTATGTATGTATGAGTAACTATCGTCAATTGTGCAAGTAACTTTGATAAAAAAAATATAACAATAGGTTTTTTAACTTTTTGCCATAAAGTGATTTTATATTCTCTACTCAATTTGTAGCAGGTGTAATTTAAAAACGAATAGTTAAACCATCTTAATTTTATTTTAATTTTGATTCGGCATAATGTTTTTTACAAATACAACTTAAAATATTGAATGATTATTTACAAGTTTTCTTTTATGGATTTACATTAATCTGTTTCAGTAAAGCAAGTAAGTAACTTAAAAAAAATTAATTATTTAGATAAAACTTTTAATTTATTTTTAACATGGACAGAAAGACTCCGGTCGATAGCCTTTTGGGATTATCTATACTAAGTTTTACAATGGATACATACTATATGATTGGAACTTATACAGCACTGTACAGGATTTTTTTTGAAATGCACGTACATATTAAATCTAGTTAATATTTAGACTTTCTTCGAATGCATAAAAATGTTATTTAAAAAAAAATACCTGTTAATAAAGATCTTATTAAATTTTAAGATTGCCATACACCACTGACACATTGAGGTGTACTAAAATTCGTCATTAATAGGTAGCAGAAAAATGTCATGAGTGTGTAACAGGGTTCCATATATTGCAAATAAAATGTTTAAAACAAATGCATAATTGTTGCTTAATTTAAGTTCATTTATATCAGAGGTAGGACATTTTCCCAGGAATTTCTGCGGTCATTTTCCAAGAATTCTCAATACATTATGAATTTCAGCTTATTTTTCAATACATTAATAATTCATGATAGGTAATACAAGACAAAAACTAAATTCAAATATCAATTGTTTTAATAAAAAACAAAAAAAGCTATTCTTTGGTAACAAATTAAAAAAAATTTCATAACTGAGCAGAGATAGTTGCCAGCCAGATGCCAGAGTGAAAATCCTGACATTTCTAAAGGTGTAATGAAAGGGTAATAGATTTAACGAACTACCTAATATGAAGTAATTGTAAGAATTATGTCCTACCCATTACTAATCAGGTAAATTATTTTACATCTGACATCCGAACTAACCTATCAAGTGCATTGCCATAGGCTGTTATTCTCTTTAGTTTTTTAACAAACAATAAAACGCAACAGAATGTTAGTTAAGAAAAGCTGCTATTTTTATTTTGATATAATGCAATGCCTGTTGCAATATTAACCAATGGAGTAGTTGTTTTCAGGAGAGAATAGGTCACTCGACGTTTATGCGACATGGACTTTTTCCCTTTGTTTTTACTTCGGTGTGTCACTGGCATTTTACTCAGATACTATTTGACTTATGCAATTGAAATTTAAAACTGTTGTAGGAAGTAATAGCCCAAATATAAGTGTTAACTAAAAAGTAGATTTTTTTATCTTAAGTGGTTAGTTTGGGGGGTGTTGAAAGTAAAACAAAATGGATCCATCATGTGGGGTATCAAATAAAAGCTCTTTGTTACACGATTTCAAAAATGTACAATACATTCATTTGTGGCACTTAATTTTTCACTTTTTTTTTATAATAAGAAGCTTAAAAATTGTTAAACCCTCTTAGTTTGTTTATTCCCCTTCTGTAAAGCGGCACCATTTTTCGGAAGCTGAATATAACTTAAGAAAAAACGTGT